TTGCGAAATCTTTTTTCTCATTCAAATAAACAGCCATTGGACTTGCTTAAGCTTGCGTGTTAACGCGGAGTAAGAAAAAGGCCTTGAATAATAGTTGCAGACGAAGTAATATTAAAACGAAATGACACTATATAAAGAAATAAAGTGCATTACTAAAAATAAAATATTTCCATTCTCGATTGACATTAACACAAACACATCAGGATGAAATTATGGATCTTCGTGGGTCTAGCAATAACTTTTTTTCTTAAAATTAAGTAGAAAGATATCTCAAGTTATATGTTTATATTTGTTCAGTAAAGAAAGTTAAATATCAAAATTTTAAAACATCACGAAAAAACACAAACTGAAAGTTAAAAATCAAAGTTTTAACACATCAAGAAAAAACACAAACTGAAAGTTAAAGATCAAAGTTTTAAAACATCCAGGAAAAACACAAAATCTAAAAGTTAAATATCAAAGTTCTAAAACATCAAGGAAAAACACACGAACTAAAAGTCAAATATCAAAGTTTTAAAACATCAAGAAAAAAAACACACAAACTGAAAGTTAAATATCAAAGTTTTAAAACATACAGGTAAAACACAAACTAAAAGTTAAATATCAAAGTTTTAAAACAGGAAAAAACACAGAAACTGAAGGTAAAATATCAAAGTTTTAAAACATCACGAAAAAACATACAAACTTTAAGTTAAATATATATATTTTTTAAGCTTTGGATAGAAGTTGCGCACTGACTTTTGTCTACAAGACAAGTTTATTGTATAATACACTTATCTTTTCAGGTGTGCATCACATGATATAATGACGCAACAGCTAATTCATAGGTATTCCATATAAATTAAAATTAAAAGTATACAGTATAATATACGAGTAAAAATGTTAAAAAAGTATAAGTCAGCATCATAAAATACAATCTGAGAGAGACGCAGAGACGCATCAATTTAGCAGCAGATTGAAAAGAGCCACTATATATATAATACTTTATTGAACTAGCTTGCTCTGTCCATATCGTTCTTTTTCTTTTGCAAGATAATGGACCTCGCCCGCGGCTTGGTCCAAAAACCTGCAAGAAAAGACTAGACTAACATTTCTTCAATATGGACCTCACGTTAGTTCAATAACATATATATGTCAAGTGCACTTGAACGGTCCTTTTCAAGAAAGAGATTAGGAAATATTTCACGTAAAACTCAAAAACGAAAAAAGACTATCCTCACAGGAAAGGCTGAAAAAACGAGTGTGATCTTGTCGACATCATACTGATATCCATGTTCTTAGCTAAAGAGCAGCTCCAGACGTGAAAAAGGAAACGTTTGTTCTTCGAAACCCAAACATCGCGCTATCAATTCCTACATGTATGTGATAAGTTCTTCACTGGGAATGATAACAATTGTGTTCTAAACTCAATATTTAACAGT